GGAGTTTTACAAACACACAAAACTCATAAAAACATTCTCTATATTACAAATGATAGCTTCTATGATGGTTTGTTTACGATAAATTTGTTTTGATGCACTAAATTTTTAAATGTTACGAAATAACTAGAGGTGATAGTTTTTCGATCTAGACGTGATAATTTTATGCAGTCACGATGAGTAGATTATGATTACGCCGTTATCTTGTAATCAATTTGAATTAACACGATGTCACCATAGTTGAAAAAAAGACATGTTAATCATAAGAAAAGACCATCACAATATTTTCTAACCTTCAACAAATTAAGGCTGTAAAAACAATGTTTCAAATACATTTCAAAAGCATCTTTAGCGATAGTCGTATACATAGAAACCACCGAAAATATGTCGCAAGTGTATGCCACTTGCTTAAATTAGGAATGACCTTTTTTCATGTCGAAATGCATACGCAACTCGCCTCACGTGAGTAATAACGGTTTTCGTCAGAATCACTCCCACCAAGCCCTATGAGTTCTAAATTTAAATTACATCGACGAGGCTAACCTTCACAAACATCTGCAGCTCCGTCATCGCAGGCCACTTCTCGGCGACCTCTCATTGGGACTGGAAAACTCCTCGATGCATTTCTCAGATAAGGCGTGACGGAACACAACACACGTGTTTCTATACGATTTCTAAGTCCGCAGTCAGTTACGCTGAGGTCACCAAAGGTGAACAATCAGAAGTACCAGCCTTCGTCGGTGACTCTGGTCTATGGTTCCACAGCCGACCCATTTCTTCTATGAAAATCAGAAAGAGCAACCTATCGTGAAACTGATACTTTTCTCCCCCCGCTTTTCCACCCCTGTTCCAAAAGCAGTGCTGTCCCGTCAGAGTCATGGAAAATAGGGATCCGGGCGCATCGCTATATTATTTATAACTTCTCTCCCCTGTATTTTTTTCATATAGAAAAAAGTGAGAAACGCGCACACCTAAACACTCCTACACACATAAACCTGATGGGAATTAGATGCTGTGCCGTTTGATTCTTAATCGAGGATATCTACGTCTATCCTGAGGACTGAGGGTCCCTGTAAATCTACTCACCATATGAACACAACATCACTAATATGCAATTTATGTTGATATCTTGTGAACGTGGCCCTTTCCAGTCAAGCCGATTCATTAGAGTAGAGAGCTCCAGAGTATCGCAGCCACGATAGTAGGGCAGGGGAAGACCCCTTTAAAAATATTAATATCGGTGACAACAAAATATTAATATTTAAAGAAGTGTTAATTTTTTTAAACAAGGCAGTGCTCGACTACTTAGTATACTATCTGAACCCGAGTGGCTAAGCTTTAAAAAAGCCTTTGCACGATTACGTTGAAAATAACGACGTTGTAAACAGAAAATATTTGTCCCGTGAACCCTTTTTGCTGCAAATACATATATACATGGCCATCTCTCAAGCAATCACGTTTACCTAATTTACTTAGTTCAGACACTTCTTAAGCTACCCTATGGTTAATCGCGGCAACATCACATAACTATAATCTTAAGACATTTACTCTGAACTTGGACCTAAATAAATGATGAAGAAAGATAATGTACACATACAACAGTTTGTCCGTTGAGAACAATCTACAGAGATTAAGTTAATTCTAGTTAGAAGTTTTCAAACTTCTACCCCCAATTATGGAAATGGCTAAAGTTTGACTGGGCACATCAGAAAGGAGGTTGTTCCTTTTTGTTGAGTCCGAATCTTGTTATAAATATAACTATTTACAAACACATCAGCTGATTTCATTTTAAACAGTGTTATTATATTTACATGCAATTAAAGCACAAAAAAAACTTATCTCAATTTTTTTTTATTATAAAATGTGTTGATAAATATAGAGTATTATTATTTGAAAAATATCCTGGATGATTTTTTTACTATCTGGAAAAAATCTGATATTTTACATGTTTTTATTTTACATCAACATAATTATTCTGAAATTTATATATATCAATAAAAGCTTCGTTAGCGTTGAATCAGAACTTTTGCTATTCTAATTGGTGATGATTTATTTGTAAATTAAGCTGTCGCGAAGACTTAGAAAGAGACTTAGTAGGTCAATCAGAAAAACAACCAAAGGAACAAATAAACGGACTCACAAACGAACAAAAAAACGCATAGAGCAATCTGTATGGTTGCGTTTTATTTTTTAAATAAACAACAAAATGACCGCAATAACGTAATCCCTAATTTGCTAACGAATTTCTCTAGCACCAATATAAATTATTGATATTAAATAAAATAAAAAAATTAAATGAAAACAACAATTCAATGCCTGCCTAAAACTAAGTACCTACAGTAATAAAATAAGTGAAATTCGTAAGTATCTATTATTTAATGATTTCTTATATTTACGCGAATACTATACATCGGGCGCTTTCCAGCACCCATAGTCCAGTCCCCCGTGACCATAGGTGCTGGAAAGCGCCCGAAACGTCGGGAATTAAAAATAAAAGTAAATAAAAAGTAAAAATAAACGCGATAAAATCCATAAAAGTAGTTTTAATCATATCTATTATTTGTCTCATCCTGTAAGTTTTTTGACCCTTAAGTTCAAGGTGTGATCAGGCTTAAAATCAGTTGGATTTTCCATCGAGAAATTCTCAGTATCAGCCCGGACTCAAGAGTTTAGCTGTTTCCCTATGCTTGAATGAAAGCACGTAAAGCCGTTTTATCTATATCTGTTCTCACTATAGTTTTGTTGAATTACTAATTCGTATACAATGATAAATAGCCATTTTTTTATATTTTATAGATAATAATCAATAGGGACAGATTTTTTAAAATTCTATAATAGGTATTATTTATAATTATCATAATTTCATTTTACAGATTTTTCTACCACCATAATATTATAAACCATTTTTCGTGCGCAAACCATGTGTCCCGGTTTTAACGCTTTAAGGTGAGAATTCTTAAACATCTACATACTATACAAATACAGAGGAGGCGTCAACAAATATAATTATTTGATAAAAGTAACTTACCTGTAAGTGTCCTTCGATCAAAATTACTTGAAGTTGACGCCCCCTCTGTGTAAACCCGTGAACTGCCGTATATTATTACCCAACCTTAGGGCGTACTTACATTTTGATTTTTTGCTAATTATAGTGTATATAAATTCACAATGATATGAGGTGTATAGTGTTGACAGTGGGAGTTCATATAGGTTGGGATACCAGTAAAATATTATTTTTCCCCCGGAAGGTTACAACTCGTGTAATTTGGTCCGTCAATTCATGACTTCATAGTATACAAACAGAGAGGAGGCGTCTACTTCATACAATTTTGATCCCATAATTACTCTATTTAACATGAGGTTCAGATAAAATAAATAAGCATTATAATAATAACAAATTTAACCTCGTGAGAGCCGAAATAGATAAACGAACAAAATATCTGGACCTGGCTCACGAGGTGATCGACATATGGGGTGTTCTGCCGACAGAAATTATTCCTGTAGTCGTTTCTGCAAACGGGCTAATCCCAGTCAGCCTCTTGGGTCATCTGAGGAGGCTGGGACCCCGTGACGGACCGCTCTAGGCTCAAATACAGAAGGCGGTGCTCCTCGATACCGCCCGCATCGTCCGCCGGTTTCTCTCCCTTTCCCCCTAACCCTCGGCAGTTTGGTCTCCCCTGACGAGGGCCTCCATCTGCTTTTATTTATTTATGTATTATTTATTTATTTGTGCTGGTATATGAAATATATATTTATGTAAATTTATCATTTCCTTTTATATATTTATTCAGCCCAACCAGATGAGAAGACACTATTAATACCAAAATAAATTTTAATAATAATAATAATAACCCCCACTATGGGATCACCTTGTCGTGGTGGGAGGGCTTAAGGGAAAGGTATGTACTCAACCGCAGTCTGAACAACTATACTCTGTAACAATAACAAGGCAGGATAATCTCTATGCCTATTAATATTTAATGACGCTTTCCCAACTAACGATCCCAAACCAGGTTTAAAAAAAATGAGTGCACGACGTAAACTACGGGCCCCCAGTGCCCGGCAGATTCAGTAACCATGTCGACTCTGGCGGAACCGAGATAGTACTGTATCTTGGGGCGCATAAAATCTCCGGGCGAGGAAGATTTCCCGTCAAATGACTCAAGCGAGATCCACGGACACCGATACCCTTAGTGATAGTGATAGTTTATATACCCCCGGAAACGATAGACAAAAATCAATACCAAACATTTCACACCAGTCTTTATCTTCTTCATTATCATCAAGTAGCCAATTGCTGAAGGATAATGCACAGAAAATAACTCCTGTTATAGAAACTGTGCCCACCATCAGTAACTGTAACACGCGTAAAAAATGGACTTCTGAAATGAATGAATTTATATTGCGTACTTACCTCTATTTAACAATGATGGATACTGACACTAAAGGTCATTTACAACCATTACACATGAAATTTATAGAACGATTCTCAGACATGCAAGTTACTCGTCAAAGAATAGGATATCAGCGGAGATTAATAATGAATAACAAACTTTTGTCCCAAGAAATAGTAAACCAAATATATAATGAGGTGCAATCAAACTTACATACTACATTTCCCCAATCAATCTCTGTAACACAAAATAATCAACACACTAATACCCACCCTTTACAAACACAACAACGCATGAAATGGACAGACGAATATAATGAAGCTATAAACCAATTCCCCCCTTTTAAGTCATTTGACAGAGCAACACATAGCTGACCAAAGAAGATTAATTCTAGATAAGAAATATTTAAGTGTTGACCGCTTAGAATTAATTAAGAATGACTTGCAAGAACAGCATAACGATATACAAGCCAATGACAACTCCATACTTCAGATAGATATTACAGACAACGAAGAACCAGATACAGAAAGTTTAGATTTAAATGCTGAAAACCACACAACAAATGAAAATTAAAATTTACATAGGCAAAAGATAATTGCCATAGATAAAATGTTTGCTAAAGCTTTAGAATATTTTGCTAATACAAACCCAACAGAAAGACAATTTATACCAAAGCAGAGGTCATCAAAAAAATTGAGTAAAATAGTCCCCTATGTAAATAATATTTTATTGCCACAATACATCAACAGCGAAATTGAATTTAAAACATTTCAGAATTTAGTGTACTGTGGAGCATGGACTTCAGCTAACCTCAACGGAGCTAAAATTGAAATAGCTGTACAAGTTGATAATCCGTTAGGACCTGAGAAACAAAAGAAATATAATAAGCCAAAGTGGGAACAAAGATTAGAAAACAAAGTAAGTGAATTAAGAGAAAAAATTGCAAGGCTAACACAATGTATTAATGGAAACCGAGGTCAAAAATTAATCAAACACGTAAATACTATACTCGAACAACATAAAATTCATTCTGTCTACGAAGAACATAACACCAAATACGAACATTTTTTAGACACATTTAAACTAAAACTAAAACTTACTAGTAGTCGGTTAAAAAGATATAGAGCATGCTCTCTACGAAAAACTCAAAACATTATATTTTGCTCAAATAAAAACTTTTCTACCGTAATATAAAAAATCCTTTTAAAAATAAAATCAGCAGTTTAAAAAGCTCCGAAAATAATATCGTACCATCACCGAGAGAATTACAAAGTTACTGGTCTACAATATGGGAAGAACCTAAACATAATAATACAGAAGCGGATTGGATCAAAAATCAAATAGACACATCATAGATTAAAGCCATGCAATTTCAACACATCAAGATAGACACTTTCCATAAAGTAATTAAAAAACTGCATAATTGGAAAACACCTGGATCAGATAATATACATAACTATTGGTATAAAAAGTTTACAACTATCCACCCGATTCTGTATAATTTTGTTAATAAATTCATAAAAGCCCGCATAATTTGCCGCAATACATTAATTCAGGAATAACGTATATGATACCAAAAGAGACTAGTAATCTTGACAATCCTGCAAAATATAGACCTATCACATGTTTACAAACATTGTACAAAATAATTTCATCTTGCTTAATCGAAATCATTTATGAACACATAAAAGCTAATAACATATTGTCAGAATAACAAAAAGGTTGTAGGAAATTTAGTCAAGGTTGCAAAGAACAGCTCACAATAGATGCAGTAGTATTAAAGCAGGTACAACCAAAAAGAAAAGATTTATTTAGCATGTATATTGATTATAAGAAAGCTTATGATACAATACCGCACACTTGGTTATTAAAAGTTTTAGAAATATACAAAATATATAATACAATTTTTACAGGCTGCAATGACCAATTGGACAACGAAACTTAAAATTAACTTACTAGATGGAATGATAGAAACAGATATTATTGCAATAAGAAGAGGTATTTTTCAAGGGGATGCGCTTAGTCCTCTCTGGTTCTGCCTTGCAATAATCCCCTTATCACAAATGTTAAACTCAAAAAAACATAGGGTACTTTTTACAATACCATACAACACAAGATCATCTACACGCTAACAAAGAAGAAAAAAAAGCTTAGTCATCTTTTGTATATGGACGATCTAAAGCTATATGCTACTACTCAAGATGAATTAGATCAATTAGTTATATTAACGGAAAAATTTTCACGAGATATTTGAATGGAATTTGGTATTGATAAGTGCAACATTAATTTAGTAAGAGCTGGAAAGTATTATGAACATAATTATCAGTTGCAAACAGGAGAGCAAATCAAATCTTTAGAGGAAAATGGAGTGTATAATTATTTAGGATATAATCAGTCTAAACAAATACATCACAAAGAAATTAAAAATACATTAACAGATCAGTTTCGATATAGACTTCTCTTAGTATTAACATCTCAATTAAATTCTAATAATATATTTGAAGCTATTAACATATTTGAAATTCCAATACTAACTTATTCCTTTGGCATAATACATTGGTCCAAAACTGAACTAAAAAAGCTACAACGCGAAATAAATACATCTCTTACGAGACACCGTAAACACCATCCAAGATCATGCATATAAAGACTAACATTGCCACGAAATGAAGGAGAAAGAGGGGTAATAGACATAGTTAACTTACGTAACGGACAAATAACTACACTCAGAAATTACTTTTATGATAAAACAGCAATATCATCACTACACAATGTCATAGTACAGAATGATCATAAATTGACACCGCTTAATATGCATGATAAAACATTGCAAAAAAATTAGTTACTTACAGATAACAACACAAAAATTGACATATGGACCCAAAGGTCTCTACATGGAAGACATCATCATGATTTGAACCAACCTACCGTAGACAAATTAGCGTCGAACGCATGGCTTCAACGTGGTGAGCTTTTCCCTAAGACTGAGGGTTTTATGTGCGCAATTCAGGACCAAATCATAGAGACACGCAATTATCAAAAGCATATTATTAAAATAAAAAATTTACATACCGACACATGTAGACGCTGTTGTAATGCTTCAGAAACAATTCAACACATCACTGGTGCCTGTAAAGCGATTGTTCAGACGGACTATAAGTATCGGCATGATCAAGTAGCCAATATCATTCACCAAAAACTTGCCTTTAAGTATAAATTAACTGACCAGCCAACTCAAGTATACTATAAATATAAACCAGAAATAGTCCTTGAAAATACCCCTCACAAAATGTATTTTGACAGAGCTATACTTACTGACTAAACAATACACTTTATTGGACCGGATATAACATTAATAGATTAAGCGAATAAATGTGCTCTTATTATTGATATTGCTATACCTAACTTACATAACTTACAGACAAAAATTAATGGAAAAATTTCCAAGTAAACTGAATTAAAACATAAAATTATTAGAATGTGGAATTTGCATAACGCCATTATAGTCCCTATAGTCCTCTCTACAACTGGTGTAATACCAAAAGTGCTTCATCAATCATTAAAAACTTTAGATTTAACAAAACTAACATATATTCAATTGCAAAAAAGCAGTTTTACTTAATACTTGTAGAATAGTTAGAAAATTTATCTCTACAGAAAACTACCCATAACCAAACAAGTTCATGGTATCCACTTGGCTTTGTCCCGTGGTAATAACCATTAATCCAGTTTTGTTAAAAACAAACTAAGAAAACGTAAAAAAATATAAATAATAATAATAAAATAAAATGGCGTAGGGAATTGACGACCCCATCGCCCGCTGACGTAACAGTTAAGTGACAAAACTGCTACGTCAACGCAGTCAGCGCCTTGCGAGAGGTGTTAGCGCCGTGCCTCGGCAGAATTTAGGGTGCAAAGGCCCGTTTGTGCTTATGGCCACACTATGACCACACATGAATACAAACCCACTGCGGGCGTACTTTAGGGCAAAACGGGAAGAAACTGGATATTTGGCGTACCGGGCTAGGGTGCATCGTCTTTTTGCTGAGCTGGAGCCATCTTTAACCGTCACAGAGCAAAACCTGGCAGACCGAGTTCGGTATATCTTGCGCTCAAATATATTTGATGTCGCTGAACTCGAACGGCTACGACGTGAGACTGCTCCCTCATCGGATGTAAATGCTACGGCTGAGGATGCAGCGCCACAAATGATAGAGCAACCCGCAAACGTGGATGCCGCCGTTAATACCTCAGTTATGGTTGATTCAAACGATGATGGAGCAGTTGCCCAGGAACTGGAATTAGAGCATATGAGGAGTACATTGGAAGAGGCGATTGTGGAAACGCGCAGTACGCCTCTCGAAAATCGACCGCGACTTCCCCGCATAGCCCTAAGCAAGCGGAATCGGGCTGTCGTGAGGGCTCTGAACCCAGTGCTGTTGACCTATTTGGAAGCCAGCCGGGACCTTTGCGAGACGGACTCAATTCTTTTTGGCGCCGCGCTGGCAGTCTGCCGTATCATAGGTGCCAAGGTTTCCACGATTGGACGCGCTACTGGCCATAGTAGCGCTATCCCAGCATAGAAAAGAAGAATTGAGGAACGTATCGCAAAGGCTAGAGCTCTCATCGGCAGACTGATATGCTACATATCAGGCAATAACAGGCCAAGAATTGTGCGCACCGTCAGGATGGCGTTTGCTGGGACAAATGTCAGTTTTTCCCAGCCGGATATAACGAAAAAACTGACGGAGCGCATAGATGATCTGAAGCAAAGAATCGCAGCTTGGGGAAAGCGGATTCGGCGATATACCGAGAGGTCGTCACGGTTCAACCAGAATCATCTCTTCCAGAGTGATCAGAAGAGGCTCTATGCATTATTGGATCGACCAATAGTAAGTGGAACGGGCCCAGCACCGAATCAGGCCGACTCTGTAGTATTCTGGCGCGGCCTGTGGTCAGAGCCCGTAAACCACAGCGAGGGCCCTTGGATGGAAGTTGTGGCGAGTCAGTGTGCGGGTATTACGCCCATGGACTCCGTCATCATAACACCGGATGACGTAGCTGAGGCGGTCCGTACGGCCCCGAACTGGAAAAGTCCGGGGCTTGACGGGCTGCATCACTACTGGCTGAAGGGGTTCATTGTGTGTCACTCTGTGCTCGCCCGACAGTTTCAAGAGGCTCTCAACCAGAAGTCACTCCCAAGCCTCTTCACTACCGGGATCACTCATTTGGTTCCTAAAGTCCAGGATACCACAGACCCGAGCAAATACCGCCCCATCACGTGTCTACCGACCATATACAAGACACTAACATCCATTTTGAGCGCGAGAATCACTTGTCACCTGGACTCAAATCAGGTGATGTTGCGCGCTCAAAATGGATGTCGGGGCGGTGGTCGTGGAACCAAGGAACCACTCCTCATTGATGCGGTCATTGGCAAAGTGGTGAAACGCAACCGTCGGAACTTCTCCGCCGCCTGGATAGACTACAGAAAGGCATTCGACTCGGTGCCCCATACATGGCTAAAGAGAGTCCTCGAGGTGTACAAGATAGACTGTACAGTTAGAGACTTCCTAGAGCAGTGTATGGGGCAGTAGAGTACGGTCTTTTGTCATCTGGGCGAGCGGAGGATGGCTGCTTAGAACCATGGAGGATGACCTCAAGTTATTCCGCCTCCAGTCGCTCCCTTCTTATGGAATTGCTAAACATCACTTGTGAATTTAGCAATTCCATTGGAATGGAGCTGGGGACGGATAAGTGTGCGGTCCTCCATGCTGAGAGGGGAAGGGTTGCTAACTCTGAGGACATAGACTTATTTATGCCCGTCAACATAAGAACCTTTTCCGAGGCTGAAACATACCGATACCTGGGTATGTCACAGAACATCGGTATCGATGAGGCTGGTATGGTTTTATGCACGCTTGACCAAAGTGCTTAACAGTCTTTTGTCCGGTGTGAATAAGACACATGCATATAACGGTTGGGTCTTGTCTGTCCTCATGTATACGTTTGGCATGCTTAGGTGGAGTCAGACTGAACTTAACGCCCTGGATAGAAAAGTCCGCACTACAATGACGTCCCATAGGATGCATCATCCGAGATCGTCGGTAATGAGGCTGTACTTGCCGCGAAAGCATTGTGGGCGTGGCTTCCTGAGCGCGCTCACCATGCATAATCGCGAAGTGTGTAGCCTCCGTCATTACTTCCTGGCGATATCGGATGATCCATTCTATAATGACGTCATTTCTAGTGATAAAGGACTTACCCCTCTATCCTTAGCCAACGAGCAATAGCAAGACCCGGCAGTACAGAGCATTTCCGACCGGGAGACCGTATGGAAGGAGAAGGAGCTCCACGGGAGGTACTACAGGGCTCTACATGAGCCTCACTTAGATACAGCCGCCTCCCTCAACTGGCTACGTTTCGGTGACCTCTTCGGGGAAACTGAGGGTTTTGTCTGTGCAATACAGGATCAGGTTATTAAGACCAACAACTATCGGAGATACATCCTAAAGGATGGCACTGTCGACGTCTGTCGAGCTTGTCGCCATCCCGGAGAGTCACTTAGGCATGTCATCTCCGGTTGTTCGGCGCTTTCTAACTCTGAGTACTTGCACAGGCACTACCTAGTAGCCAGAATTCTACACCAGGATCTCGCTCTGAAATACGGTCTCGTGAACCGAAAATTGCCGCACCAGGCTCTACTGGGACCGGGCCATCATCACAGTCAGGACTTTTCTTGCGAATAAGCCTGATATTGTGCTGATGGACCGGGCACAGTCACGGATATTTTTGGTCGACATTACCATTCCGTATGACGAGAACCTCGTGAAAGCCGAAACAGAGAAACGAACAAAATATCTGGTCCTGGCTCACGAGGTGACCGACATGTGGGGTGGTCTGCCGACCGAAATTATTCCTGTAGTCGTGTCTGCAAACGGGTTAATCCCAGCCAGCCTCTCGGGCCATCTGAGGCGACTGGGACTCCGTGACGGACCGGTCCGGGCTCCTCGATACCGCCCGCATCGTCCGCCGGTTTCTTTCCCTTTCCCCCTAACCCTCGGCCGTTTGGTCTCCCCTGCCAGGGGCTTCCATCTGTTTGGGCTTTTATTTATTTGTGTATTATTTATTTATTTATGTTAGTATATTAAATATATATTTAAGTATATTTATTTTTCCCTTTATATATTTATCCAGCCCAACCAGATGTGATTACTCTATTTTTATTATTTTTTTATTCATTCAACAAAGTAACAGTTTTAATTACAAAATCAATTTCTTCGTGCCATTAAACATCTATTGTTTGTCTTGGCACTGCACAGTTTGCTCTTAATTATACATTAATTTACTTAAGCTTATTATTTAAATAACATTGGAATTAACTTTTACTTAAACTAAATATAAAGTACTATGAAATATTTGTGCTACAAATTATTAGAATAAAAAATAAAAAAAAAATTGGCATAAAAATTTATATAAAATCTATAATATGTATCTCTTAAACTATTTTTTTTTTGTGGAGAAGGTAGTTTTTGGTATTGTTTACCAGGAGTAGTGAAGTAAAAACGTGATTGTTGTCTTCAGTTGTTCGCTTATCCGATATACTGTACAATCTTATTTATGTGCGTACACACGGAGTGTATTTTTAAGGAATATTTTTTTTCATGTATTTTATATTGTAACACGTTTTGTTTATTTATCCCATTTAACAATTATTGACATAGATAGATATAGCTCGTTATGATTCTCATTGCAATAATGTATATAAATACTTTTTTGAATTCTTATTAAATAACCCAAAAATAATAAATTTATTCACAAGAAATATGGTACAAAGATGTTCTTATAAAATAATAATGTATCACATATTTCACCAATTTTGGTATATGAAAACTTATTTACTAATCAACTTATGGTTAGAATATACAAAATTCAAGTAAAATTAAACGTGCATCTCTTAAAAATTTTATTATTAATCCTTTAAAACACAATCAAATAAGAAACAGAGTTTAACAGTCAACAGAAAAGTTCTTTTTTTTAGCAGTTCATTTACCGCATAAAATTGTTTTTCTAAAAGCCCCTTTAATAAATTACGTCTAAATCGATTATAATCTAGTTGCCTTATTTCATTTGTGATTTTATTAAACACTTGAATAGCCATCACATAGCAATTTTTTGAGTACAGGCTAGTTTTTAATGAAGGTAATATAATTTTATCTGGGTATCTGGTACTATATGTTACTGTATCTTTTAACCTAGTAAAAAATATATATTATAATTAAAAAAGATAGTACTATCTATCAAATAGCTTCCCTTAAACAGATGCTTTAAATGCTGAGTAATCTCATTCCTAACTAAAAAAGACTCTCCTGATAACCGATTCCAGCTCGGTGGCTACGGTCAACTTACTTAGTATTGTATATTATGAAGAATGTAATTTTACATATTACAATATTAATAACTATACGATATATAAATATATATATAGGTTAGGTTAGGTTAGGTTAGGTTAGGTTAGGTTAGGTTAGGTTAGGTTAGGTTAGGTTAGGTCTAACCTAACCTAACCTAACCTAACCTAACCTAACCTAACCTAACCTAAGCATTAATTTTACTGTTACGATACAACTTATTTTCTGAGTATAATAAAAACCTTGTAAACACAATACTTTTGATAAAAGTAATTATCCCAACATTTTATGTATGTATGCAGGCATGTATGTATACGCGTGTAGCGGCGCTGTCGTCGCCGCCACAAGCAAAAACACACCGAAGCCTAAATCGCGCTATCAACATTCCGAATCATAAACAGTATATATAGAACATCTCCGAACTATCACATGGAGTGTTGGCCGCTCCCCCGGGCAGAACACCTTGCCCGGTGGGAGATCTCCCCTTTTCCTTCATCGGCCACAGTGGCGACCCCGACGTGATCTGAACACGCAACCAAACAACCTTCGGAAACTTCAAGCTTCATCATCGTCACAGAATACCCCACCCATTCGCTCCCGAGCAGATATCGTCTGCAGTCTTCATATCCTGCAAGCCATCTAGCTTCACAAGGTTCATCGCAGCACTGGAATAATAATGCTTCCTGTTCCTTCAAGCTACTCTCTGCGCTATACAGTGTTCGGCACGGCTCTGAGCCTTACTGCTCGCCTCTGCTTCACGGCACTCTCGCAGATTACTTGCCTTCTTCTCGACTCACCGCAGACTACAAGGCAATCTCTTGGCACTTGCACATTCGTCGGCAACGAGGCTGCACTATCTCGACCTCCGGTCTGAGCAGGGGGTGATGTAGCGGCGCTGTCGTCGCCGCCACAAGCAAAAACACACCGAAGCCTAAATCGCGCTATCAACATTCCGAATCATAAACAGTATATATAGAACATCTCCGAACTATCACATGGAGTGTTGGCCGCTCCCCGGGCAGAACACCTTGCCCGGTGGGAGATCTCCCCTTTTCCTTCATCGGCCACACGCGTATGTATGTATGTTTATGCGTATGCTTCTATGTATGTATGTTCGTATGAACTTCTGAATAATATGAATTTTCGCTGACATTAAGAATTGATGATACTACCTT